GCAGTTAGATGGCCTAGTGAATAAAATGCTGGATCCGAAGTCAGGAAGGCCCAAGTTACGATTCTGCCTCAGATACTTTCTAGTTGTGTGACCCTGGGCAAGTCACTGACCTTCTGCTTCAGTTTTTTTTTTTTTTCTGATAAAATGAGATCATATTTGTAAAGCAATTTGCAAACCTTAAACACAGTATAAATGCTAGCTGTTATTCTTGTTATCATTATTATATCTCAAAGATTACAGTTTCATAGCAGATACCAAGCTGCATTGAGTAGAAGGACTTTCCTTCCTAGGTCTTTTTGCTAGTGAAATGACAGGCTTATCAAAAATTTACCCCCACCCAAAAAAAAGAAAAGCTGTCCCAAGGTTATATAAAATTCTTTTTTTTTAATTCTTTTTTTCAATTAACAGGCATTTTTCTTTCCCTCCTCCTCCTACTCCACTGGATCAAAGGAACACTTTTGTAACAAATACGCATATTCAAGCAAAACCAATTTCCCAGCCTTTTTTTTCCCCTCTCCTTTCCCCTCCTCTTCTCTGCCCTCCCCGCTTCCCTTTTCTCCCTTCCCTTCATAAGTAAGTGGTGCTGCTGATCCAAGAAGAATCTCAGTCCCCACCTTTGGTTGGATGTGTACTTTTGGCCGCCCCTTTATGTTTTCATAACCCCTGCACCCCTGGAACTTCATCTTATTGTGTGTGTTGTGTGTCCTGGACCAAGGCTCAGAAATCAGGATCAACCTTGTCTAGAGTAGACACAGATGAGAGGCTCTGGTCTCCCTGTCTTCTCCCTCCTCCTCTTCCCCTAGGGCTCCATCTTTGACTCTTTGTTCTGAATGTGTCCCCCACCCCCATCATAACCTGTTCTTGAACTTAAATAATAAATGCCAATTTATGACAAAAAAAATTCCCACATTGATCATGTCCAAAATTCCTTATCTTGACCCCATTACCTCTCTGTTGGGAAGTGGGTAGCATGCTTTATCATCTGTCCTCTGCAATCAGACTACAGAAAATTCAACTTGAAAAAAGTTTAAAGGAGGTTTAATTAGTGTCAACCTGACAATTCTTATACTCATGAAGGATATGGAGAGTTAAGCCCCTTGATTTTATACAGAAGGAAACTGAGGCCAGGGCACATAAAACAGCTTGCCTTAAGTTGCACAGCTAATGAATAGCGGAGCTCAGACTTGAAAGCAATTCTGTTCCTTCTTAAATCCATGGTGTGTTCACTAAACCTTGCTCCTTCCTTCCAACTGGAAAATTAACAACAGCCAGATCTATTGTCTTCCTTTTCAAACCTAGATAAAATGTTAGTCTGGAGAAATCCAGAATGTACATGATCCTTAAAGCCGCCCCTTCAGGTGGCCACAAATGGTGTTATTTGGAAGTCTCTGTTGGAAGGGCTTAGGGAAGGAGCAGATTGTGCCCAAAGAGGGTTCCCCTTTTTCCTTCAATGCCCCTGGGTAGCAAAGCAGTCATTGACTAGTTGGCAAAGTAGAAAACTGGGGACTGTACTGGTACCATGGTACCATCACTGACAACACTCAGTGGGAGGAAACTCTGCTGGAAACTCAGGAGTGGGGCCAACTGAGAGCTTGGTTTTAAGAATAGAGCAGGTTCTGACATTCTCCTATCTCAGTGTTCACCAAGGGCAAAGGGGGATGATAGATTTGGCTCTTGCTAGCTATTCATTAGTTGTGTGACTTCAAAGCAAGCTGCTTTACCTGCCATAACCTCAGTTTCCTTATGTGCAAGATCAAAGAGTTCAACTCTATTATATGAATTCTTATGTTGTACTTAATTAGACCTTCCTTAAACAAGTTTATTTAAAAATTGAATTTTATATGGTCTGGAGCAGAGAGAAAGCCCCCCCTCATATCGGCTGTATCCCCTGTGGCAAACTTAAGGAGAAACATTTGTAACAGTTGTACAAGATGGGTTGTGATTTGCATTGTTGGACAGAGTACTCACATCGATGAGCTTACAGCTCCATTGGAATATTGGAGTATGGGGTATTCCCTCCCCTGACAGATTGCAGCCCCTCCATGTTTTGATAGTCAATTTTATGTCTGAGCTTCATCACAATAGTGGCCAACCCGGTGGTACAGTTCTCTGATCTTGACTTGCTTCTTAGATGACAGATGAACAATCCATCCCTAGGCTTATGCTTGTGCTCCATTGGAATGGCCTTCCAAGAATTCAAGAACACCATAATAGCCAGGCATACCTCAGGGAGATCAAAAACAGAAAGAAGGGTCCCATACACACCAAAAGATTCAGAGCATCATTTTTAAAAATGGAAGCGAAGAACGGGAAACAAAGTAGATGCCCACTGGTTAGGAAATGAATAATCAAATGGTGGTGCGTGAATGTGATATGTGTGCCATAAAAAAAGTAATGAATGGGAAGGATTCAGTGAAGCATGGGAAGCCATCTATGAACAGATGCAAAGTGAAATTAGCAGAACCATGAAAGCAATATTCATAATAATTTCAACAATGTAAATGGCAAGAATGAAAACCCCAAGCTGAATGTGGTAATGAAGCTGGGCCCTAGAGAAGAAGGGAGAAAATGTACCTCCCTCCCTTTCTTTTAGAAATGGGAGACTATGGGTATGGAACATTTCGTAGGTTGTCAGATTCAGTTGATGTGTTGTTAGTTTGGCGAACTTGCGTTTTTTTGTTTTTCTTCCTACTTCATTCTTTGTTGGGATGGATTGATGAGTATGTAGAGGAGGAATATATTTGGAAAGGAAAGTAATATAGAGGCAAAAAATTATCAATAAAACATGTTTAAGAACCTGAGGACATGTTGCTGCCACAGTGTGGTACTAGAGGAAGATCTTAATCAAGGAGTTATTTTTAAAAGGCAAGAGGAAAAACCACACTAATCTCCTAGCACCCAATATGGTACCTCGCATGCAGGGCTGTGCACAAAAAACGTAACAAATAAAACCATATGCTGTCTGTCGTTCAGTTCACTAAACATTCTTGGGGTTCAATGTTTACACGACCCTGTAATAGACTTTCTGGTGGTAGATGCAGACCCTTCCTTTTAGGCATTAATTCTTCAATAACAATTCTAAGGGGATGGGAACCATTGCTCCAAGCAGGATTTTAGGAACTATACTTTTGTGGGCAGCATGCCATGGCAGATGGAATGCTGGACTTATCCCACTTGTGATCGTCACCAGCTGTGCCTCTCTAGGACCCCTTTACTCTGGTTCTAAGGTGTTTATCAGTTCAGAATGACATCTGTGGCTTCTGTTGCCTTAAAAAAGAGGGATGGGAGCTCATGGGAAAAGGCCTTTAGACAGATTTAAGAGGCATCTAGGTGACACAGTGGATGGGGTATTGAACTTAAAATCAGGAAGACCTGAGTCCAAATCCTGCCTCACTTACTCACTAGCTATAAATGGACCCAGTTTCTTCATCTGTAAAGTAAGGATAACAATCACACAGAGTTGTTGTGATAATTAAATGAGATATAGATATATGTAAAGTGCTATGCAACCCTCAGAGTGCTATATAAATGCTACCTATTGGTGTTTAGAGGTAAGTGAACACTCTTGGGAACAGAAAATACCAATAGTTTTGTGATAAAAAGAATGTTGGACCTTGAGTCAGGAGAACTGGGTTTGAATACCCAATCAGCTCTTTAATACCTGTGTGATATTGAGAAAAGTAGCTTTGTCTTAATTGGATTGGGGTTTGGATTTGAAAATCTCTAAGGTGCTAATACTCCTCCATGTCTACAAACCCTTTGCTAGCCTTAATAAACCCAACTTTTATTAAGAAGCCAGATCTGTGTGGTTTTGTTTTTGGTGGATTTTTTTTCCCAAATCTGGAAAGCTCTACACATCTGATGTTTGCCATACTTATCCTGAGCTTCTCCAGAGAGATGCTGTCTTCTGGCAGGAAAAGATAAAAATGAAGGATACCAATGAGTCACTAACTCAGCTATAATAAACAGTGATGCAATAGCCATCTGAAAAAAAAAATGGTGGTGGGGCAGATTTGAGCCATTGACTGTTATGTTGTCCCAGGTTACAGCCGGAATTCAATACAGAAAATATCTCTTTGTGGGTGTACTTCCATCTCTCTGGGATTGGCTAAAAATATACTTTTAAAGAATAAAAGGAACTGAGGATTCATGCAGACTCAGAGATACAGCTCCACTTTAGGTAACCACAAATCCATGTGTTTATTTGCAATGGCAGACAGAGATTTTACCGCCAGCGTCAGGCCTCCCTTTCATGCATGGCTGTGTTGAAAAGACTGAGTGGTTTCCAACCTGCTGAAGGCATTTAAAGACACTATGGCCATAAATTAAGCCATACATGGTGTCCAACATACCACCTCCTAAACCCAAGGGGATCTGTGTGAACAGCTCAGAAAGGCCGTCACCACTTAAGGGCTGTATTTTCATGGCTGACCTGGAATGAGAGGTGATGCCTTCCATTGTGACCCAATAAACAAAAGGAACTTAAAGGTTGCTCTCCAACTCTAACTTCTAGCCATCCCACCCCTCACCCCAGTGAGCACACAGAGCCTATCCCCAGCCATAACTCCCACCCCACAAGAACAGCACGACTGCTTTATAACACCATCTGAAAGCAAACACTGTTGTTATTTTTTTCCCCCTTGCTGGGACAACTCCTAACTAAGATGGATAAATTGTGGTCAGGACCTAAGCAGGTTAACTAGTGGTCATCATGGTGGTGGTGTTTTTGTGAAAGAAAGAAAGAAAGAAAGAGAAAGGGGGGGGAAGAAGGACGAAAAGAAGGAAGGAAGGAAGGAAGGAAGGAAGGAAGGAAGGAAGGAAGGAAGGAAGGAAGGAAGGAAAGAATTAGGCCCAATTGGACAAAAACATTTGTAATCTAATACCAGTTGTAACAGAAGGCAGATGTTGGAATCTCATGGGTTTCCTTTATGAATGGGTTTTAATTGAAATTGAAGGTGAAAAATGCAGATTACATTCTTAAGTGTTATCATCATCATCAATATGTTAAAACAGTAACATCTGAACAGTGATGCATCTAATATTTATACACTTTCTAATTTTAATTGGCTAAGAGCAATGAATTATCAGATAGATATTTACACAATCATTTCAAGCCACAGTCAAAAATAAACACCCTCCCTCAAAACAGAACGAAAAAAGACCCTCCCCCCCACAATATATTTTCTCACACTGTTAAGTCTCTTTCTTTTCCCCCACATATTCTTGTAGACCCAGAGTCTTCTTAAGTTATTTAGGAACAATTTCTCAATGGAGATCCTGGACCAGCCCCCCTTTTCTCTTAGTTCCATCTTAATTTTTACAGCTCTGAAACCACATAACCAGTGTGGTCTCACCATCACAATAGAGTCCCGAATGATCAGAATAATTTTCTGTTTCTCTAATGTGAGGAGATGTGAACATCTCTAAAAATAAGCTGCAATTCATATCAAAATAACAATAACAATAATAATAATAATAAAATTTCAGTTCCACAGAACAGTTTCTTCAGATCACTGTGACAATATTATAAACAAGTTAACTTACTGATAAGATTCTTATGGATTTCGGTAAAGAGGTACTGATTAGTTTTGATTTCTTTTTTAGCTGCTTTATAAACAAGGATTTTTTTTTCTTTAGGTCAACTGGTGGAAGAGACTTTCCCCATCCAGGTTAGAATCTCACTTGACCCCAGGGAATGCCGTGTGAGAAACCCACCCCACCCCCAAATGCCCTGGTTTTCTGATTTATGTCTTGTTGTTAGTAAATGGAAACCATGACAAAGTTTACATTAGCAGACACATTGACATGCCCCAGCCTATAAATATTCCACAACAGAAAATAGTGTCATGAATTCATCCCAAGAGAAACTCAATGTTTCTTTGGGACTTTGGAGAAAGTGGTAGGGAAGGAAGCCTGCCAACGCAACTCTCTTTCACCGTGAGAACCCCAGGTGAGGGACGACGCAGGTCTTACTGAAACTGGGACATTGAGCCCTGGGGAATGAATGAAGAGATGGGAAAATGGAGGTCACCCTGCTGCCTGACAAACCTGGAACTGGTTCCGTCCCAACAGGTAACTTGTCTTCATGGTCAGTTGTGGTTTCCTTATTATGAAGGTGGCCGAGGATGAGTTTAAAAGCCCATTTTCATAGTGGTTCATAGAACGTCCTGCCTGGGACATAGATGCGTCCTTGAACTTGACCCTTTAAAGTGTCAGTTGGAGCTTCGTCATGTTCCTTTGGTGCATGTTGTGGTGACGCACTAACTCATCTGAGCGGGCAAATTTTTTCTGACAACTGGGCCACCGGCAGCTGAAGGGCTTTTCACCTGTTAATAGAAGAGACAGTCAGGTGTGCAGGCAGCTGAGGAAGCGGACACATGCACAGTACCAAAGACAGGCCCAGCATCAAAGGCTTGGGTCAAGTCATGATAAAGGAACAGAAGGAGCTGCCATGGGAAGTCATCGGATCACAGGATTTAGGGCCAGAAGGGACCTGAGAGGTCAGCTAGTCCAATGCCCTCATATTACAGGTGAGGAAACTGAGTCCCAGAGAAGGGAAGTGACTTGGAACTGGAAGGGACCTTACAGGTGATGAAGTCCAACCCCTCATTTCACAGATGAGGTAATTGAAGACTAAGGAGGTTGTGACTTGTTCAAGGTCACACGGATAGCAAGTGCCTGAGGCCGAATTTTAATTCAGGTCCTTTAAATTTAGAACTCTTTCCACCAAAACTCCCTGTTTTTCAGAGGCAATATACTCCAACTCTCTCATTTTAAGTGAGATATAAGTGACTTGCCTAAGGTCACCCAGGTAATAAGTACCCAAGCTGGGATTTGAATTCGTTTCTTCCGACTCTCAGAATTACACCACGAAGCCCACTAGTGGGCGCTGTCTCAGGGAAGGTCTTCAAGAAAAAGCTGGATGACCATCTTTGACCAGGCTGTCAAGTATCATAGACTACATTGATATGGTGATTAATAGAATACTAATCTATTGCATTTCTAGCCATTATCATTCGACGCAGTAAGGAGTAGCCACTGATGCTTGGACACTAGATGAGACACTAGATGGCCACTGAGATCCCTTCCAGCTCTGAAATTCTGTGATTAGTTTGGGCTCCTTTCCTGAAAAAAAGCAAGCTTAACAGGAATCAGAAAAGTGACATGGCCCTAATGCCATCTGACGGCACATTCATAGAAATAGGGTATCCAGGACCTGGGACGTGATAGCGCCTCCCCTTTCCTCTGCCTTGATCAGATCCCATCAGAAGTACTGTATTCAGTCCTGGGACTGGGTAATCCAAAAGCTGTCAGGACTGGAAGCCAGGCCATATGAAAACAGATGGAAGGAACAGTGATCACAGGAGATAGATTCAGACCTGGACCTCAGTCATTCTCTATCCAACCCCCCTCCCTCATTTTACAGATGAGGAAACTGAGGCCCAAGGAAGTGAGGTGACTTGCCCAAGGTTACACAGGTAGTAAGCAGCAGAGCTGGGATTCGAACCCAGGTCCTCTGACTCCAAATCCAGCATTCTTTCCACTGCACCACACTGGTGATATTTACCCTGGAAAAGAGAACACTTAGGGGGTACATACTCTCTATTTACAAATGCTTAAGAGTTTTCATGGGGAAGAGAAAAAGGTTTTGCTCAGTCTCAGAATTCGAGTAGGACCAATGAATAGGAGAAACAGAAGTGGATTTCAGCTCAATGTAAGGAGACATTTCCAAACACCTGGGCTTTGACGTATCCAAAACTGGAATGCGCTGTCTCAACTCTATCCCAGGAAGTGAGATGGCTGCTTCTCAGGGATAAAGTATAAGAGAATCTTATTAAGGGATGGGCTCAAGGAGATGACCTCTGAGGCCCTTCCTATCTCTGAGATTCCTGTGTTTTCTAGAGAGATCCTTAAAATGGAGAGACTGAAAGAGGCTTCCAGAATGTCAGGTTCTAAACTTTTTGGTATTCATAGATGCCTTTGGCAGTCTGGTAAAGCCTGGTGAGCCCTTCTCAAAATCTTATTCATGAATGCATTAAATAAAACACATAGCTTTACAATCAAAGAGATTGCACTATAATAAGCAAAATAAAAAAGTCTATAGGCCCCCAATTAAGAACCCCTGCCAGAGGAGAAATATGTGGATTGGAATATTCTAATTAACAAGATACATGGAATGGTCCATTAGCTCCTACCCTTTAAGATTCAATTAAATGCTGATCAAGTCCCTAAAAAACAAAGGTAACAAAATAAAATCTTAATTAGTCAGAGGACTTGAGGAAGAGGAAAGCTCTGGTAAATAGAATCACATCTAAGCTGAAAATATCTTTGTTTCATCCCGAATATGAGGATCCTTGATATGGGAGGAACCTTAGGGATGATGATTCTATGCCAACTCACATCTGAAGAAAGAAACTTAAAAGAAAAAACTTTGTAAAAACCGCTGGTTTTCTCTCCTGTATCAGTAAATAGAGTATAATGAGCCTTGCTGAACCTTTTCTTGGTAACTGAGAACTTTGCAGGGCATGGAAGAAAATAGATTTGGGAGAAATAGGGCTGGATTAAGGTATTTGTAGCCTCTCCGGGGACTTCTACACTAGCCCCCTAGTGGATACATTTTTGTAAATGCATGTGATTTTGCAATAGAGATCTCAAAAACTCCATCCCCTGAATTAGTTCCATAGAGAGAGCAGGGAATGACCAATGGATAACCTATATGATTACATTGGTATCTTCTTCTTTCAAAAGATCGGTAGAAAGTTCCCTATAATGTTGGGCAAACCACCATGGCAGATTGATGGGAAGATACGGAGGAGAGCCACACAGGCTGGGCAAACATTTAACTCTTCCAGCCAGAATGAAAAAGTCCCAGTAATCTCCAGGGTTCTGTTTATGTTAGTTCTGCTTAATTGAAGTCTTGCTTTATCAAGCTTTGCCTCAAACTCTCTAGATCAAAACTTCTCCCAACTAAAGAGATCTCAGCATGCCCATCCAAAGGGTTGGCTACATAAGATCAATGAAATCCCTTCTTTTCCAGTTTCTAAAAACTCTCACGTGCCTTGCCAGAAATAGAAGAATAGATTGTCACTGTATGATTAATACAAATGCTACAGGAAATCATTCTGTGGACCATTGGAAGGACCTTGGAAGGCCACCAGTGGCCCTAGTACTCTCTGAGAGCATCACTCATGTTGACTGTCATAGAGGAGACATCTGGGATCATCATATTAACTAGATTTTCCTACTGGCAATAGTCACTTAAATATTACTTTTAAAGGGCTTATAATTACTACAGACAACTTCATGGCTACTCATGGGAGTAAATTAAGCACCTTGGAGAAGTTTATTAATTCTTTCTAGCCCCTAAGGCGCTCATTCGGTGCATTAGATTTTGTTATATATATGGAAGGGGAGGGGAGGAATTCAATTCCAGAAACTGGATGTGGATACAAGCCAAAAGAGACACCAATCACTATGGTGTTCTAGAGCCTTATTGACTATTGCTTCAATTTTCCACCTCTTTCAACGTGGCAAAAATGTATCTAAGTAAAGTATTCTTTTTGGGTCGCAAAAAGAATCTCTGCTAATGTCAATTATCTCAGTTATTGAGGCTATTTTCAAATGAAATTATCAACTTAATTTCCAAAGGCATCCGGGAGAATTTTCCCTCTCTCTCTATGCTAGGTTCTCCCCCACCATATGGCAGTATATCCAGAAGAAGAGAAAGCTATTCCAGAACCTGCCCCAAATGTCCAGAGTATCCCAGAAATCTTAGTGCAGTTATTTTAAGCTATTAAAACTTAAAATTTTGCTAAGAATTTTGAAATACCCTGCATGTATACAAAGAGTAGCCAAGTGAAATATTGTATGCATGGTGTTGGACACTATCCGTGGGAACTCTCTGCTGGGTCAGGGCAATCTGAGTCTGCACACATATCCTTATACCAAGCATGGTGACATAGGAAACAAGGAAAAGAGAGAGGCCTTCTGGGACCTTGGGACATCATTTTTCCTTCATTAGCCTTTCCACAAAATGAGGGGGATGGACAAAATTATTTTTAAGGCTCTTTCCAGCTCTAACTCCTGTGACCCTGTGATCCCTAAGCATCTCTGTGGAAGACAGAAATGTGCCTCTTCTCTGACAAAGCCAGCCCTCACTCTCTTGCCATTAGAGGGGAGAAATCAGTGATTTCAAGGTGAGTAACTGAGGGCAGTAACATGGGTTATGTGAGATCCTGTATGAAAATCATAATGCACAATGCTAGTGTAAAGGCAGCTAGGTGACACAGTGGATAGAGCTCTGGGTCTAGAGTCAGGAAGAACTGAATTCAAATTCGGCCTCAGACTCTTAATAGCTGTGTGACCCTGGGCAAGTCACTTAACCTTTGTTTCCCTCATTTTCCTCAACTGTAAAATGGGGTTAATAATAACAGCACCTACCTCGCAAGGTTGTTGTGAGGATCAAAGGAAATATCTATAAAGCACTGCTCACAGTGCCTGGCACAGAGTAGGTGCTTTTACCATGTTTATTCCCCTCCCTTCCTTTCCCAAAAGAAGAGCTATCATTATTGTTTCTACAGGAAAACAAAACAAAACAAAACACATATACTGGTTTGTGAAAAGCATTCCTTTTGATGGAATATAAGAAATAATATAAAACCCATGTTCTTGACCATTGGGTCATGGTATGGAAAGAATGTTGGGCTGGAAATTAGCACAGGTAGGTTCGAGTCTTAGCTTCGACACTTAGTGGCTGTGTGACCTCGGACAAGTTACTTTATTTCTCTAAGCCTTGTGTCCTCGTCTAAAAAATGAAGAGGTTGGACTCCAAGGCCTTTGAGCTCCCAACTAGTTTGAGGATTCTGTGATCTCTGCTGTTGCCTCCTATTTCCATTGTACTCTAAGGTTTACAATATATTTTCCTGCCAAAAACTATGAAGAGAGTATGCAGTATTTGAATTATTACCCCCATTTTACCAGATGAGAGAAACCAAGTCTCAGAGAGGAAAAAGCCTAGCCTAGCATCACACAGCTAGGATTAAAGTCAAGATCTGAACTGTCCTAATTCCAGTTCCAGTACTCTTTGCACTCTACCATGCTGCCCCTTAGAAGGAGCTCCCTGACCTTGGGCCAAACGCTTAACTCCTCTGGACCACAGTTAACTCATCTGTTCTGTAAGGGCTAAGTGACCTCTAAGGTTCTTCAGGGTTCTAACATTCTATGATTCCATCAAACATGTTCCATCAGCCTGGAAAAATTATTCCTGGCCCTAGGGCAGTGGCTACAAGCTCTCTGAAAGTGAGCCAAGGTGGTTCATCTCTCCCAAAATAGAGAGAATGACCTTAGTGAGATCAATAAAGAGAAGTTATTGGGGGAGAGTCGAGGTATGTTGCTTTTCCATTGAAGTTGAGCATTGACTAAAAATTAAATGGGGGATAAAATTTGATTTTGAACAAGACTCTCTTCTACCTCTTCAGAGATAATCGATTTTTAAATATACAGGGTGGGAGCAGGGGTTCTTACTACTCTCTGCTTTTTTTTCTTTCCTTGAACATTTCAATGAATTGTCATTTTCCTTGGGTTGGATTAAACCTGCCTGGATTTGGGTCCCCTCTCATCACAAACAACTTCATTCCACATACACATCAAGAAAATAATGAAAAATAAATGTGAAGAAAAGTTTTACGCACTTGTTTTACCTGTATGAGTCCTGGTGTGAGTCTTCAGGTGGTCAGACCGGGAGAACTTTCTCTGACAGGTTTTACACTGGAATGGTTTCACACCTAAACAGATAGAGAGAGTCTAGTCCCAAACTGGAAAACCTTGGGGCAGAGCAAGGACATTAGGTATGTCCCTCACCAAGGTACTAGAGCTAACACCCACTGCTCACTGGAATCACTATTTATACCAAGCTCAAGAAGCAAATGGCTCTCTGCACCAGCCTTCTTCTGTCTTGGGAGCTAGGTTCCCAACCAGAAATGTTCAGCTTCTTCCCAGCCCCATAAGAACAGAAATATACCTTCAGAGTGAGTTTGGAAAGTGGGTCACAAGTAGCAAATTTCCCATCTCTAAAACCTCTCTCTGTCTCTCTGTCTTTGTCTGTCTGTCTCTCTCTGCCTATCTCTCTCTCTTTCTCTGTTTGTCTGCCTATCTCATTACTTCCAGATGACTGCTCATAGGACTATTATTCTGTGGCTGGGAGGAGAAATTGGGGGCGATTAAAATAATATCTTGGTTTTCTTTGTTTGAAGCAGAAAGCCAACAGAGATGAGAAACTTTAATGGAAATATTAAACAGACGACTGACTCATGACCTAATTCCAACTAGCAATATTCAGCATTAATGAGAGCCAAGAAAACATTCACATCCTGTCAAGAGCCGGACCTACAAACCTGTGTGTCTCCTTTGGTGTCTTTTGAGTTGGTCTGATCGAGAGAATCGCCGTTCACAGTCCTTGAAGTCACACTGGTAGGGTTTCTCACCTTGAAGAGGACACAGATTGTGCATGAAAAGTAATATTGGACATTGGAAACAGAGAGACAAAGGACAGTTGCCTCCATTGTGACTGGATAATAATAAATAGAAACAAGAAAGGCTTCTCTTATGGATGATATTAAATCTCCATTTCTGGAACCATCCTTATACCATCTGGATGACAAATCCAGATTCACGTATTGAAGGAAACTAAGATATTGGAATCAATCCAATTCAATAAGTATTTACTGAGTGACTACTATGTGCTAGTCAGTCAGCAAACATTTCTTAAACACATTATGTGAGAGACGGTGTACACGGAAAAGCAAAATTTGAAAAACAAAAACAGTCCCAACTCTCAAGAAGCACATAGTCTAAAAATGGGGAAGATGATATGTAAATATCTAGGTTCATACAAGATAGAAGTGTCTATCTTGTATCAACTTAAATGTGAACCTATTATAACCACTACCTCCGCCACCACCAATCCCAAGTAGCCTGTGCATTCCTGGAGGTCAGAAGCTGCCTTACTTCTATATTTACAACCCTAGAGCCTAGCATGATCCTTGGCACATAGTAGTTGTTTAATCAACACTAATTGATTGTTGGTTGATTGATTTCATCCACGAAACTCCTAAATATGGTTTACTAAATTGTAAAGGGGTTGTGACCAAAGGGGGGAGTGAAGGGAACAAGCATTTATTAAGTGCCTACTATGTGCCAGACACTATGCTAAATGCTTTACAAATATTATCTCATTTGACCAAAAGATCATAGAAAGCTGGAAGAGATCCCAGAGGTTATCTAATTCAACCTTCTCATTTTACAGATGGGGAAACTGAGAGCTTGAGAAGACAACAGGTAGTAGATAGCAGAGCTGGGACTTGAATCTGGGTCCTCTGATTCTTAAATCTGCATCCTCAGATACTTTCTATCTGTGTGACCCTGGGCAAGTCACTTAACCACTGCCTGCCTCAGTTTCCCCAACTGTAAAAATGGGGATATAACAGCACTTCCTTCACAGTGCTTTTGTGAGGATCAAATGAAGTAATATGTGTAAACACCCTTAGCAGAATGCTGGTACATAGTAGGTGCTATATAAATGTTTATTCCATCCTTACCACCACCAATGGTGGAAATGCCCACATTGACAAAATCCAAGATAAGGGGTTCTTGTTTATCTATAGACTTTTAAAATTGAGAGAGAGAGAGAGAGATGGTTGGATGGATAGACAGACAGACAGATAGATAGATAACTGTATTTCCATGTAATTGGTTTCCTTTGCAATCCTATGCATTTTATCTTATGCATTTGAAAACCAGTGTTTGGGGGGAGGAGGGCATGGTGTCTAGGCTTTCCCAGACTGCCCATGGGGTCCAGGACACAAAAAAAGGTTGAGAACTCTTCTGCTGAGTCCTCCAATGATAACAGCTGGCATTTACTCAGCTTTTTAAGGTTTGTACACATCTTAACATAGACTAATATATCACATGGTCCTCACAACCCTGAGAGGGAAATGCTATAGTCCTATTTTAGCCACATGAGAAAACTGAGGCTGAGATTGTGAAGTGACTTGCTCAGGATCACAGCACAGCTAGCAAGGATCTGAGGCAGGATTCCATCCCAGGCCTTCTTGACTCCACTGTACTATTCACATGATACATTGCATCCCTGCAAGAATGTTGTATTTGTCATCAGGAGGGCCCACATTGGTACAGAAACCTAACTGCATGACCCTGGGCAAACCACTTCCCCTCTCTCAGCCTCAGTTTCCCAATCCGTAAAATGAGAACAATTATAGCACCCATTTCAAAGAGTTGTTGAGCAGACCAAATAAAATAATATATATCAACTTATTTAAAATCCTTAAAACGCCGTTGAAGTGGTAGTTATGAGAAATTTTTGGCTTCTTCTTAACAGGGAAGATTAGGCGACTGGATTGTGAAACTGCTTTTCAAGGTCTGGCCTCAGTAAGTGAAGCCGTCTCCATAGAAAAATCAGCTCCACGAATGCCGGGAAGTAAGCTGGAGAGGCCAGCTCAGTGACCGCAGGGTCCTCCTGGCTTCTCTGTGGAATTCCCAGGCCTAAGAGGTGGAAAGCTGCAGTAGGACATGTCTATGGCTCTGATCACTTCTACGAGCCTAGGATTTTCCAGGAGGCTGTAAATGTCCGAACAACCTTTTTAGAAAATTAATTATGGGGAGGAAAAGTTGCTAACCATAGTAGCAAGATCACAGAATCACAGAATTTGAGAGCTGGAACCGACCTTGGAGTCATTTTGACCAGCCCTTACCTGAAGCAGGCATCCCGTTACAACAGGGGTTCTGAACCTGGCATTCATGGACCCCTGGAAGTCCTGTGGATAGATTTCAGGGGGCTTGTTGGCTTGGATGGAGGAAAAAATTACAACTATATTTTCACTGACTTCTAACTAAAACTTAGCATTTCCTTCAATTGTTTAAAAACCTTATTCTGAGAAGCCATCCATAGGCTTCACCAGACTGCCAAAGGCGGCCATGACACAAAAAGCCAATCAGTCGAAAAACATTTTTTAAACACCCTACTATGTGCAAGACACTGGCAAAGAAGAGAACTGATGAAGAACTTCTTTTCAGTATCCCAGGTGGCCAATAGGGTGAAACAGCATCATGGTATGTAGGACAGAGATAAGGACAGCATCTGTAATTTCATTGGGATAAGGACCTCCCAGAGGAGGAAACTCCCTTTACCAATGCAGGATGGCACCTCTTCCACAATTTATAGTCTGAGAAAGCTGCCAAAGCCACTGAGAGAAAGTTAAGTGACTGACCCAGGACTCCACAGTCAGTATGTATCAGAGGCTTAGCATAGCACCTGGCACACATAGTAGGAGCTTAATGTTTATTAACTCACTGGCTAGACTAGAACCCAGGTTTTTCTAGCTTCAAGGCTAGATCACAATCCCCTATACCACTCTACCTGTCTTGGTGCATATATATGTGCACGTGTGTGTGTGTGTATATATATAATAGGCCTATGCATGTGAATGTATATATATATATATATATATATATATATGTGCACATGTGAATGCATGTGTATATGTACACATATACATGTATATGGATTTTTTTCTTGAAGATCAATTGGTCAACAAGCATTTATTAAGTACTATATGCCAGATACTCTGTCAGGCACTGGCAATACAAAGATAAAATAGTACCTCCCCTCAAGAAGCTTACATTCATTCTATCTAGGGACACAGAAGAGAAAGGGAAAGAGAATAAACATTTATATAGTACCTACTATGTGCCAGGCACATGCCAAGTGTTTTTCTTTCTTTTTTTTTTTAGCAAATATTATCTCATTTGATCCTCGCAACAAACCTGGGAGGCAGATGCATTATCCCCATTTTACAGCTGTGGAAACTGAGGCAAACAGAGGTTAAGGGATTTGCCTAGGGTCACACAGCTAGTAAATCCCCAAGACAAGGTTTGAAGTCAGGTCTTCCTAACTCCTGGCTCAGTGCTCTATCCACTGCATCACCATGTACCCATATAAGTGGATACAGATATATATTACATACAAGGACAACATATGTACAATATTTGCAAGGGTATTTTGTGGGAGGAGACACCCGCGGCTGAATGAATCACCAAGAGCCTTGTAAGAGGCAGAGCTTGAGTTAAATCCCAAAGAAAACAAGAGATTCTAAGAGACGGTCTGGGGAAGAGTCTGGGTCAAGGCATGGAAACGCACATGAGGGATGGTTTGAAGGCCAGCATGGCTGTGCCATAGAAGGGAAGGAGAGTGATGTATAGTATGAGGCTGGAGAAGCAGGTTGAAGCCAATCTGTGGAGAGCTTTCAACTGTAGACAGAGGAGCTTTTCACTGACCCTAGAGGCAATAAGGGAGCCTTGAACCATCTTTGCTAAATAATGACATGTGATGGCTGAAACCCGCTTCCCTCCTCTCTGGAGAGAGGCGGGAGGCTCTGGGTGAGTGATGCTGCATGCACAATCAGGGAAGATCACGGGATAGGCTGGGTTTACTGAACTGTTTTCCTTTGTTACAAGGGAGGGCTCAATGGGAAAGGGAAGCATTGGAAAATAACTAACTGAAGTATTCCACCCACCTCCTGGTAGGGTGATGGACTCAAGATGCAGAATGAGACATAGATTTTTTTGGACATGGTCCATTCTGGAATTTTTCATTTGACTATGCACATTCATTACACAGGTTTTCATTTTTTTCCCCAACCAGTCAGGGGGAGGTGAGAGGGAGAGAAAAAAAAAATTAATTTTCTAAAATTTAGTTTGAAAAAGAAAATTACTAACATTAAAAGGCATAAATAAAATATTTTTAATTATTCTTAATTTCCAATTGTTTAGAAAGGAAACTCCATCTTTTGTATTAACATGAAAATTTACCATATCATCACTTTTCTAATCTTTATCCTCAAATGAAATATTTGCCAACATTAACATTCATTTGGATTGGTACGTGAGTTACCATTTCTCAAATGCTATTAACAAGTTTTATTATGAAGAATTAGGTGATCAAAGGTCTAGAATAGATCCATTTATTCAATAAATACATATTAAGTGTCTGCTATGTGTAGAGAACTATGTTGGGCACTGTGGGGAAAGACAATGTTTAGATAAGATCTAAAGAGATTCTTCTCTCTTGGGACTAACTTACAGTCCAGTAGAGAGAGACTCGGGTCCACGTAGCATTTTTTAAGTTTATTGTGGAGGTCTTTGAAAACGGAAAAGGGAGGTCCTTAATGACCAGGCAGATTGTGGATAGCTTCCTGGAAGAGGCAGCATTTGCTCAGGGCTATAAGGGCCAAGTAGGAATTCATTGAGCAAAGAAGGGGAGAATATTTCCCAGGAAAAGATGTGACCAAAAGAGAGGGCACGAGAGCACAATTTGTGTTTGGGAGGCAGAGACATGTTCAGTTTAGCCAGAGTATTCTGTGCTTGAAGAGGGATAATTTGAAACCGGGACAGGAAAGCAGATGGGAGATTGTAGTAGGCTTTGAAGACCAAGCAAAGGAATGTGAACTTTGGCAGGAGCCAAAAATGCCTTTGCACTAACTGTCCCCATGCCTAGAATGAGTCCCCTCCTCACCTCTGCGTCTTATATTACCCCTTATTTCCTTCAAGGGTCTATTCAAGCATCCCCTCCTACAGGAAGCCTTTCCTGATTACTTCAAAATTAGGTCACTCTGCCCCTCCCTCAAAGTTATTTTGCCATAGTTTCTATATATTTGATATTGATTTATTTATGTATACATTGTTCCCTCCCCTAGAATATAAGCTCCTTGAGGGCAGGTATTCAGTTAGTCAATAATTATTTGTTAATTGTCTGCTAAGTGCTGGGGATACAAAGAAAGGCAAAAAGACAGTCCCTGCCTTCAAGGAGCTTACAATCTAATGAGGGAGACAACATGCAAACAAGTACAAATAAGATTATAAAGAAGACAAATTGGTGATAATCAATAGAGGGAAAGCACTAGCATTAAGGGGGCTTGGGAAAGGTCTCTTATCTTTATTTTTGCATCCCCAGCACCTATTAGAATGGCAGGAGCATCGGATGCCCCAAATAAGTGATTGTCGAATGAATAAATGAACCACTGAGAATTTGAGGGCAGAGGGGACACATGACCAGATTTAGCAGCCTGAATACATCTTGCTTCCCAGCAGAAGTGCATTTAATTATTGATTATTGTTATTGTTGTTATTATTCTTATGGCAATACTGAAACTTTTCTTCCCAAATGGAAATGATGTTACTGATCCACCCATCATCAGTAGACTGTGGGCCTTGAATTGTGACTTCCATCACTGGGGGAGAATTTTTCCTACTCCAACCACATACTCACATCTGTTAAGGAATGTTAAGGGGTCTTCTGAAGCCTGTGGAAACTTCCAACATCCCTGTAGACCAACACCTCACATTTATGAAATGCCACAAACTAGCCCAAGAGTGTCTGTGGCCATGAGAGCCAACTGGCCTTTACACCAGGGAAAAACTTGACCTTGGCCTCATAAGTGTTGCATTCTCATCAAAGGGGATTATGTTAGACAGTCACGTAGCCTCTTTTAAAGAGAATTTAAAAAAAAAAAAGATATAAATACTTCCCAAAACACTCCACCCTCCTCAACCCACTCAAAATTTCTAATGGCTTACAAAGCAGAATTTCTCTTTGATAGCTCTCATTTCTTCTTTGCTCCTCAGCTGTGGCCAAAATGTTGGTCCCTCAAAGAAGGAATGGGCCAATGGGTGGCTTTGGAAGCAAAAACTCACTGACTCTCGAAACTGGAAAGAACCTCAGTGACCATCAAATCCAACTTGTATCTGAAAAGGATTTCTCTCTCCAACATCCCTGACAAGCTGCCCTCCAGCCTTTCTTTAAAGATTACCAGTGATCGGGAACTACCCTCCCCTAACAACATGTTATACTTTCAAATAACCCTAATTGCTCAAAAAATTTGACTTAGTAACAATAACAGCTAGCATTTCTATAGCATCGTAAGGTTTGCCAAGGGCTTCACACGTGTTATCTCCTTTGATCCTCTTTATAGAGCGCCAGGCCTAGAATCAGGAAGACTCATCTTCCTGAGTTCAAATCTGGCCTCAGACACTTCCTAGCTGTGTGACCCTGGACAAGTCACTTCATCCTGTTTGCCTCAGTTCCTCATTTGTAAAATAAGCTGGAGAAGGAAATGGAAAACTACTCTAGTATCTTTGCCAAGAAAACCCCAAATGGGGTCACAGAATGTCAAACATGACTGAAAAACAGTAAGGTAAGTATCTGTGTTTACAACTCTATGAAATAAGTGCTATTCTTATCCTATTTTACAAATGAGGAAACTAAGGCTGAGAAGTTACAATTAAGCAACTTGCCCAGGGTCACACAACTAGTAAGTGTCTGAAGCCAGATTTAAACTCAGGAAGATGAGTCTTCCTGATTCCAAGCCCAGTACTCTATCCACTACACCACCTAGCCACTCCTAAAATATGGGGCCCAGAACTGAGCACAATATTTCAGATGCAGTAGCACCAGGAGAGAGTCTAGTGGGACTGACAGCAGTATGGGGAAGTGAATAAAGCACAGGACTTGGAGTCAGGAACACCTGGGTTCAAATCCTACCTCAGATGCTCAGTAGTCATACGAATGAACCCCTCATTACCTCCATTCCTCATCTGTAAAGGGTTAGATTTGACAGGCTCCGAGGTGCCATCTAGCTCTAAATTGAACGCCTCTCTCTTCCTCTATTCACCCCTGTCAGCCCATCCTTAAACCTCTCAAAACCCTCCTTACTTCCCACTACAGAAATCCCTTGTTTCCTTCCCAGCATCCCTAAACCCCACTTGGATTCAGGTGTGAAATACTTATATAATGTTCTAAGGGTAAATCCCAGGATAAGAAGCCTTCATGGCGGGAGCTCGTTGCTGTCCAACATGGAGCAGCTCACAGTAAGAACCCCTAGGAGGGAGCTCAGATAAAAGTAGTGAGACTGACTTACCAGTATGCTTCCTGCTATGCATCTGTAAGTGGGACAGCTTAAAGTATCTCTTGTTGCAGCCTGGATATGCGCACATAAATGGACGTTTCTCATTGGTCTCTGCAGCTGACCTCACGATAGTAGGGGCTACCCCAGGCACTCGCCGGACATCCTGCAGTGACAAAGCCACAGGTTAGATGAAGTGTTACCTCTTGAAATACAACTAACGGATAGATAGGAACACCCGGGTCTGTCTCTGCACAGCTAGGTGGAGCCATAGTGCATAGAGCACTGAGCTTGGAATCAAAAAGACTCATCATCCTGAGTTCAAATCCAGCCTCAGACATTTACTAGCTAAGTGACCCTGGGCAAGTCATTTAACCCGGTTTGCGTCAGTTTCCTCATCTTTAAAATGGGCTGGAGAAGGAAATGGCAAACCACTCCAGTATCTCTGCCAAGAAAAATGGGGTCACAAAGAGTTAGACACAACTGAAACAACTGAATGACAAGTTACACCATGAATGGAAGAGAAAATAAACAGCTCTGACAAAATGATGAGCCAGGAAAGCTCCCAGTACATCATAAGTCCTTGCCTTCCCCTTCTCCATGGGAGGCAGTGATGTTGTACATTAAACATCATTGATTTGAAAAGCTATTTGCTTTTCAAAAAATGCTCATATTCTTTGAACTAATAATTCTTCTTTAGGAAATAACCCCAAGGAAGGAAAAATAGCCAACATTTCTATTTTGCTACCAAGTTTACATCATCTCATAATGACCCTGTGGAGTAGGTACCAATGGGTATTATTATCCCAAAGAAACAGACTCAGCCATTAAGTAACTTGTCCAGGGTCGCCCAACTAGGGTCAGAGGTGAGATTCAAACCCATGCTTTTTCTGACTCCAAGTTCAGAGCTCTTTCCTTGATACCATGATGTCCCTCAAAGTAATAATAAGAGGAGGTGAGGAAAAAAGAAATTTGTACGAAAAAAATATTCATTTGTCGTTTAGTCATTTTTTTTAGTCATGTTCAACTCTTCATGACTCCATTTGGGGTTTCTTGGCAAAGATACTGGAGTGGCTTGCCATTTCCTTCTCCAGCTCATTTGACAAATGAGGAAACTGAGGCAAACAGAGTGAAGTGACTTGTCTAGGGTCACACAGCTAGTATGTATCTGAGGCTGAATTTGACCACAGGAATTTGAATCTTCCCCACTCCAGGCCTGGCACTCTGTTCACTGTGCCACCTAGCTGCCCCTAGACAACCATTTTAAAAAACCTGTAATTTCATCCCTCCTCTCATGAGGAACTTCCTCTACCCAAGCACATCATCCCCTTCTCTGTGACAGTCTTAACTCTGTTAAGGTTACGTGACTTTCCTAGGATAGCACAGCTGGTAGACTTCAACCCAGGTCTTTCTGACTTTGAGACTGGCCACCCACTGCCAACCTCATTTACCTTCTTGTCCTGATCTCCTAATATAGTCTGTCTTCAGTTACCTATACATCTCCTTAATCATTTTACTTGACCTTACAGCTTTCTTAAAGTTGTTTATTCCAGGTGCAAAGCCAGGATTTTATAAATTCTCCCACATCTATAGGTCATCTTGCCTAATAGGGAGACACCTTAACTCTCTATTCCCTCTAATTCTATTCCCTCTATTCCTCTATTCGCTCTAACTTAATTTCCTCTAATGCCTAGCATAGACTTTTGCATATAGTAAGGGTTTATTTAGCTCAATGGAAAGATGGATGGATGAGTGAATGAATGATTGAATGAATGAATGAATGAATGAATGAATGATGTACTTAACATACACACAGTGCTTAAAAATGTTAGAATCTTGGGATGGTTAGAACTGGAAGGGCCTTAGAACACAGAACATCAGAGAAAGCCCTCAGAACAGAATGTTTTAGAACTATAAAACACTTTGATGTCTGAGACTGTAGTATACAAGAGATAAAAGAGACCTTACAGGGGTGGGGAACCTGCAGCCTCAAGGCCAAAGGTTTCCCAAAGGGCTGACCTTGAGCCCTAGAGGGCCACATGTGGCCTTGAGGATGAAGGTTCTCCACCCCTGCGGCTTAGAATGTAGAACATAGAATGTTAAAAACTGGAAGAGACTTTAGATTATAAAATGCTAGAGCCAGAAGGAACATTAGAGACCTTCTGGCCACCCTTCTCACTTTATAAATGAGGAAATGGAGATTCCAAGAACTCGACTGACCTTCTTTAGGCTACCCAGCTAATGAGTGCCAGAGCTGGAGCTAGAATCCAGTTCTCTATAAATCTGGTAAAGCATTTTCCCCACTATATCATCTTGACTTCCAAGTTATTTTCATGGGCTGCCACGTATTGTGAGATGCATGATCAAATCGATAGACTACCACAGTGTCTTGGCATAAGTAGCTGAGATTTCATGAATGTCACTTTTGACTTTAGAGATTTTGGTAGAAAAATTAAGAGATAAAGCAGTGCCATTCTATTCATTTGTAAAATTAGGGAGTTGCATGAGGTGATCTCTAACTACCACTAACATCCTATGATTCTATTCTATGATTCTCCTCCAGAGTTCTAACCATGGGCCACTGAAATTAAGCAGAGATGATTGGAAGAGAAGTCAAAGGAAATACTGTCCTTTCCTCTGATCCACAATAAATGTACTACAGTGATAAAATGGAGAAAGGGTTTTCAGTGGAAGGAGTCTGGAATAGTAAAGACAATCAGAAAAAAAAAACAACTGTAAGATCTCGATGTAAAATAACTTAGCTAGAAAATGAGGGTGTTCAACTAGATCATTCCTCATTCTCTCTCGGCTCTAAAATTCTATTATTCCATTGCCATATTCTTAACCTGGGATCCATGACTTTGATTTTTTTTCTATTTTTCAATATAATTGGTTTCCTTTGTAATACTCTGCATTTTATTTTATGCATTAAAAATTATTATTCTGGGGAAGAGTCCATAGGGTTTGCCAGACTGCCAAAGGACAGCATGATACACAGAAAAAAAAATTAAGAATGCCCAGATTAAAGAGTTGTAAGTTTTAGCACTGAAAAGTAACTTCAGTGTCATATTACCTAATCCCTTCATTTTACAGATGAGGAAATGGAGGCCCAGAGTGATTAAACAGTTGGTTTTTGCAAAACTGAACATATATTTGAGATTCAAACCCTGATTTTCTGACACCCAATCCAGTGACTTTTCCCACTTTGCCATGTTCTCCTACAAGTTGCTTCTGCTAATAGTGAATCAAGGAAACTACCCACCTCAACCTCTGACCTAGTGGTCATTCCAGCCCATTCCTGCATCTGTAGCAAAGGAAACCCTTCATCGGGGGTACAATTTACCCTTTTATATATTATACTCATAGATGGGAGTATTTGGGAATCTCTCAAGATTTCCTTGAGCTCCATTAGACTTTCTTGAATATGCAAGCGCAAGCTTTAAGCGCTTACTATATCATAGATGTTATTCATTATTTCATTCAGTCATTGACAATTATTAAGCATGTGACAAATGGGAAAGGTGTCAGACTTGAAGCCAGAGAACCATGCCGCTACCTACGTGGCCTTGGCCACGTCCCTCAGCCCTTGTTCCTCATCTATAAAATAAGGGGGTTAGACTAAATTAAGAAGGTCCCTTCCCACTCTAAAATCTGTTATACTATGCTCCTATGCTGCATCCACATAAGTGATAATAATACGACATTTTAAAGTTTACAAAAAACAAAAAACACTCTTCATGTATTATTTAGGTCTCCTCAGCAGAATGTAAGCTTCTTCAGGGCAGAAACTGTTAACAGCTTTTTTCTTTGCTTGCCCAGCATGGAGCACTGTGCCTCAAAGATGTTATAAATTTTTATTCATTTGGGTATTTTTAAACTTTAAATCTATGGTCTTTTGATCCTGTGTTTGACTGGTTATCTCATTTGAGTAGCTCCAAGTGCAGAAATTTCTTCTTTCCTTCCTTCCTTTCTTCTTTCCTTCCTCACTTCTGTTTTTATTCCTTCTTCCCTGTTCCTTCTTTCTTCCCTCACTTCCTTTCCTTATTCTTTTTTTCTTCCCCCCTTCCTCCCTCCCTTTTTCCTTCCTTCCTTCCTCACTTTCTTTTTCATCCTTTCTTTCTGTCTTTCCTCTCTTCCTCCCTTCTTTTCTCCTGCCTGTTTTCCTTCTTTCCTTCCTTTCTCAATTTCTTTTTCTTTCATTCTTTTTCTTTTTCTTTCTCTTTGTTTTTCTTTTTCTTTCTATATTTCCTTTCTTTTCTTTTTCTTTCTTCTGCATACTTTCATTCTTTGTCCTTCTCTTTTCTCCTTTTTTAAATTTTTTTTATTTTCTCTCATTTTCTGTCTCCTTTCCTTTTTTTTCCTTGACCTCCCCATTGCCTTGTACATAAGACATGCTTACTAAATGTTAGTTGTATTGAATTGAATTCAATACGAAGGAAGTGGTCAAATAGGAGTTTCTATACTAGATAAATGGATTATCTGGAATATCAGGGTCTATCTTACCCCATTGGAAGGCACAGCAAAGTGAGATCACTCTGTTCCATTACAAAGAAACTTCACTGGAAACATTAACGAGGATCTCTCAGCTGATGATGCCAGCAATTCCCTGGTCAATTCCCGTTATTCCTAATCTTGGGCATTGGTTACTTTGAAGAAAGCATCATATGTGTGATAGGAGTTGTAACAATAAGAGCCAGTTACAGCACCAACCTTTGGTAACTGTATTTATTTTTGAGCTGTTGAAAAGAGCCGGGGAGGCGGCCTTCAACAAAGTTCTCTGATTTCTCAGAAACTTTTTAACTGTTATTTTGCCTTGGATTTGTAGCTCCCTAGGGGCGAGTCCTTCCCTTACACTGGCCCATTGTTAGGGTAGCTCCCGCTGGACAGGGGAAGCCAATGTGCAAAGTCAGCCCAATAGCGGGACCACCCTGAATAAAGAATAATTGGCATTTTTTATATCTGCAAAGTGTGCTTTCCATATATTAAAACAATTGACCCTCACAATGACCTCATGAGGTTGAGATTCCAAGTCAAATCATCCCCATTTTATAGCTAAGGAAACTAGAGCTCAGAGAAATGGTTTAGTTTACTGGATACAAAGCTGGACTTGGAGACTCAGTTTCCTCATCTGTAAAATGATGAGGGTTGGACTTGACCACTTCTGAAGTCTCTTCTGGCTCTAAATTTGTGCTCTTATGATTTGTCCATGGTCACACACCTACTAAGCCTCAGAGGCAGGTGTTAATGTTACCATTTTATAGATGAGAAAAACTGAGACCCAACTCGGGTGGTGTCAGACGCAAACTCAGTTCTTCCTGATCCCAGGTCCATTCACTGCAGGAGCCTGTATCCACTCACAGCCTCAAAAGGTAAAGGAAAGTTGAGGAGGAGGAAGGGGCAGGAAGGATCTTGGTTTGAGTCACAGAGTTTATATTGGCTTGCAGAGGAGTAGGAAACCAGCTTATCTGGAGGATGGGGGTCCTTGCTGTCAACAAGAGAAGCTCTATAATTAGCAGCAGATTACCGAATGCCCAATGGATAGCCAGTGAAGAACCAAAACTCGGGTTTGGGGGAAGGGGGGAAGTAGGAAATACTCACTTGTATTCCTCTAAAGACGCCATGAGTGTGTATTCTATATTGGGCTCCACAGAGAATCGGAGTGGCGTGGTTATCATTTTCATATCCTGTGGTATGGCTGCAAGCATAAAAAGAGAATTCATGAAGTTCCCAGCCCCCTCTTGGAGACACCAAGCTTCCAATCGAAGTGAGGAGATTCCTTTAGAAGCCCCCAAAACAGACATCTAGTTTTGTCTTTTGACCTAGGGGCGAGGGGTGGAAGGGAAAGCCAAACCAGCTTAAATGCAGTGCTGGGCCATTGGAGCAAACTGCTCATTCAGCCCCCTGGCCTTCTCTTTTCGTCCAGCCTCTAGCCTCCCTCATCAGCTGTGGCCTGGAGTGTGTGAGAAGTCCTCACCCCCCAGGGTCCATATCTGGGAGAGTGTGCCTCTCACGGGGTGAGCGGAAAGGACTCAGAGGGGAGAGCTACATTTCCAACTAAGATGTTTACCATCCAAACTGCAGACCCAGTGGGCGAGAGCATCTTAGGAATGAGCAGAATGCTTCAAGTTTAACTTTAAGTACCCTGGATTTTTGTCAGCACCTCATGACTCAGATGTTACCAGATAGCACCGAGAAAGTGATGACATTTACAAGGATAGATGCCGTGGCCTGAGCAGTGGGGATTACAAATTAGTGGCCTAGCTCCACATAACCCCTAGATCAGCTTCCCAGATTAGTTTAACCCTTTGTGCCTGATCCAGGCTGGGCCCAAAGATGAATCCCTGACACCCTCCTCTCCCCCCAAAAAAACATTAGCATAATCTCTTTCCCCCCCCAACCAAGGCATTCAGGAGAATCTAGGGGAGTTAAGAAAAACACTTGGGATGGGACAGATTCCTCCCACCAATCTACAAGCAAGGAAATGTTGGTGATTGATCTATAGAATCAGTGGGGACTGGGGGGGACAGTGAAAGCCATTGGGAATGTTCCCTTCAGGGTGGGCTGGCACAACGGACCCCATGTTGTATGCACCCCCACCCCAGCCCCAGCGGGTAGAGTTTGGATTCATAAATTAGCAGTGTCCCCGAATCCACATGCATGGTATAGGGGTAGAAGGCAGAACTCTGGAGTCAGAAAGACCTGGGTTCGTACCCTTCCTCCAACCCTAGAAGAAGTAGAAGCTTCATTTCCCACCATAAAACTTCCTAAGAAGCTACGTATTACTGATGTGGCCATGGGACTATCTCTTACCCTCAAGTTTCCTCATCCGCAAAATGGTGAGTTGGACTACATGACCTCCAGGGTTCCTATCTATGTTCCTGCCAGAAGCCAGAAAGGGCATAGAGATGTGTTTTAATGACTGACTCTCCCAAAGTCAGTTCTGTCATTTTTGCAGTTTTATCTGACTCTCTGGAACCCCATTTGGGGTTTTCTTGGCGAATATACTGGAATGGTTTACCATTTCCTTCTCGTTTTTAACAGATGAAGAAACTGAGGCATACAGGGTTAACTGACTGCCAAGGGTCACACAGCTAGTAAGTTTCTGAGACTAGATTTGAACCCGGGTCTTCCTGACTCCAGGCCCAGTGCTCTATCCACCAAGCCACCGAGCTGCCTGATTTTCTCAGTTGCCAAGGCCTAAAATCTGTGATGTCTTCCCTCTCCACCACCTCCCACATTCAATCAGTGGCCATAGTTCTATTGTCTCTACCTCAATGAAGTCTCATGGGTCTGTCCTTTCTTTTCCATTCCCAAGGCTATGACCTTCAATCTGGACCTAATCACCTCTTGTCTAGACCTTTACAACAGGATCCTAATTGGTCTTTCTGCTTCTGGTCACTCTTTTCTCTAAGGTATCCCTTCACACCATAGCCAAAATCATCTTCCCAATGCTAAGATGTCATGCCACTGATCTACTCAGACACCTCCGATGGCTTCCCATTGTTTAACCAATAAAATAGAAACTCCTCAAGCCTGGTGTTCAAAAGCCTCCTTGTGGTGGCTCCAATCAGTCTTCCCAGCTTAATTTTATGCACCTTCCCTTGACGTACTCTATCTTCTAACTAGTCTCCATTCACCGATCTCATCTTCAAATTGTGGTAGAGAGGAGATAACATTGCCTCTAGATTCAAATCCTGCCTCTGACACTGACTACCTGTATGACCATGAGTAAGCCATGTCACCTCCCTTGGCCTCAGTTTCCTCATCTGTAAAATGCAAGGATTGGACAAGGTAGCGTATGAGCCATGATTTCCCCCAACTCCATTCACCGACACACCCAACCCCTGCTTCAAAGAATGGATTGCCCCCCTCCTCCCCAATTTGTTGAAATTTTTCCCTTCCTTCTAGGTCTGGGTCAGGTATCATCTCTTCCCTGATGTTTTCTCTGATTCCTCACCCTGTCCCCTCCAGCTCCTCAAATCTTTCACACCTCTCAATTTGAGCCCTCCTAGACACTGAAAATTCATATTACATTTATTTCACAGGATCGTAAATATAGAGCCAGAAGAGTCACCTAAGTCCTCATTTTACAACTGAGGAAACTGAGGCCTCAAGAGGTGAAGTAACTTAAGGTCATAAAGGTAGTAAGAGGCAGAGCAGGATTTGAGCCCAGGTCCCAGGCTCCAAGCTCAGCACTTTGCATTACACCACACTGCCTATATGTCATATCCCCTCCTAAACAGCTAGAAGTCACCAGAGAATGTGTTGTTTGCTTTGCTCTTTATGCCCTAGGGGTAAATCATGGGATTTAGTGCCAGAACAAGCCTTAACAATAATCTAATTTAACTCCCTCATTTTATAGATAAGGAATTTGGAGGCCTTGAGAGGGGAAAGGAATGTCCACCAGGTAAACTGGAGACCCAACTATTGGAAGGGGTTTGGAGGAGGGGCCCCTGTAGAATTCTCCATTCAGTTCCAGTCCTGGGGTTTTAAAAAAGGCTCACCTGCCTTCTTGGTGTGAGATCATGATAACAAATCGTGTGTTGTATCTCTACTCAGCTATCTTTCAGAGGCAGCTAGGTGACCCAGTTGATAAAGCTCTAAACCTGGAGTATGGAAGACCAGAGTTCAAATCCAGCCTCAGTCACTTATTACCTGTGTGACCCTGGGCAAGTCACTTAACTGCTATCTGTCTCAGTTTCCTCAACTGTAAAATGTGGCAGATAATAATAATAGCACCTACCTCCCAGGGCTGATGAGAGGATCAAATGAAATAATATTTATAAAGTGCTTCGCTTAGCATCTGACACAATGTAGGTCCTTAATTAATGCTTGTTTTCTTACTGCCTTCACTTTCTCCGAGCTACAATCATCACCCATAAAAAACTCGGTTTTTCAAGGAGACAGATCAATACTGAAAAAGAACATAAAAAATAGAAGGCGGAGGAGAACTCACCACCCAGAGCATCCATCCACTGGGGAGTGACTGAGCAAACCATAGTATATAAGTTGAATGGACTATTATTATGCCAGAAGAAATGATGGATATGAAGAATTTAGAGAAAAACATGAGAAATCTCCAATGAACATAGGCAGAGTGAAGAAAGTCAACCCAAGAGAACAGCATGCACAATGACTATGACAATTCAAAGAAAAGAACACTAAAAAAGACGACTATCTCATTGAAAGGCCATGAGCAACACTGGTTTCAGAGAACTGATAACCAAGCACACCTCTCTGCACCTCTCCATAGAGAGACAGGGAGGAGGAGACAGACACAAGATGTTTCATGTGCTGGCAGAAATGTCTCTGGGCTTCCATTTAACTGTTTCTCTCTCTCTCTCTTTTTTTGGCAAGGCAATGGGGTGAAGTGACTTGCCCAGGGTCACACAGCTAGCAAGTGTCAAGTGTCTAAGGCCAGATTTGAACTCAGGTCTTCCTAAATCAGCGCCACCTAGCTGCCCCACATTTAACTGTTTTTGTTCTGTTTTGTTTTGTTTTGTTGCAATGGGAGATTCTAGTTTGGTCATGGGGTAAGAATATATCACGTAATTATTCTGGTTATAAAAAAAAAACAAAAAGGCATTTTTAAAAATCCAATTTAGTCTCTGCCATTACAAACTTGAGAACATTCTAATAATAATAACCAGCATTTGTATAATGCTTTAAAGTTAGCAAAGCCCCCTATATATGATAGCTCATTTGATCTTCTCAACAACCCTGTGAGGTAAGGGCTCTTATTATGCTTATTTTACAGATGGGGAAACTGAGGCACTGAAAGGGTTAAGTGATTTACATGTGACTAGCAAGTGTCTGAAGCAGAATTCAAATTCAGGTATTCTTGACTCCAGCGTTCCATCCATTGCACCACCCAACTACTTGGTGGCTCTTTGGGAAAAGGAGAGACCAGGTCAATGTCATGAGGAAAATAAATTAATATTGCTGGCCAAGTGTGCGTGGCCTAAGAAAGAGATGAAGTCATCAAAGCTCTAAGCTGATAAGGCCATGGAGCTCTTTCTGCCCTTTTGTTTAGCTCAGAATTCTACAGGAAGTGAGCCCATCGCCCCAGTGGACATCCTCAAAGGCGGAGTTTGAGGGACATTGTCCTGAGTGAGGAAACCAAAACATGAAATGATGAAAATGCAGAATGTTCCAAAATCCATGTTGTACTTGATTGTAAGCTCATTGCAAATAGGGATTATTTCATTCATTTTCTTTGTTTCCAGGCAAATAGCAGAAGCTTCGCAATGCTGGTTGATTGATTCACTCTAAACTGGGTCGGGTGATTGAGCTCAGGAGGACAATAAAGCAGCATTTCCCAGGTATGCTTTCATAACAACATTGAAGTAATAATAACAACTTCCATTTCTATGGTGTTTCAAGGCTTGCGAAGCACATTCCTTATAACAGCTCTGTGAGGCTGGTGGCGTCGCTATTTTTATCCCCATTTGCCAGATGAGCAAACTAAATCAGTTTCTTCTCCAGGAAATGTTTCTGGTCCCCTTGGTTGTTTGTCACAGGCACACACAATCATGGATTCAGAGCTCGAAAAGGACTAGAAGAGATCATCTAGGCCAATCCTCTTCTTTTTACAGTTAAGGAAACTGAGCCCCAGGGGGATTAAGGAACTCACTTGGCTAAGGTCTTCCAGATAGTAACAGAGGCAGAATTTGAAGCTCTTGACCTGAAAGCCAA